ATGGTGATGATGATGATGGTGATGATTGCGATGATGATGGTGATGATGGTGATGATGGTGATGATGATGGTGATGATGGTGATGGTGATGATGGTGATGATGATGATGGTGATGTGGTGATGGTGATGATGATGATGGTGATGGTGATGATGGTGATGATGATGATGGTGATGATGGAGAAGGAGGAGCAGAGAGGAAAAAACAGAGTTTAGGAAGAAATGGCCTTTAAATACAGAATGGATCTGAGAGGGGGCAATATAAACAGTGTTTCAACATCTGAAAGAATATTAGAATAACGTGGGTAGTGGCCAGTCTTGATTTTCTCTTAAGGATTAAACCAGAAGAGATGGGACCAGACTGCAGCTTGAGAAGTCAAGGTTAACAATAAGGAAGAAGTGTTTTGTTTTTTTTGTTGTTGTTGTTGTTATTGTTTTGTTTGTTTTGTTTAAGATGGAGTTTGGCTCTTGTTGCCCAGGCTGGAGTGCAATGGCACAATCTCAGCTCACCACAACCTCCGCCTCCCAGGTACAAGCGATTCTCCTGCCTCAGCCCCCTAGTAGCTGGGATTACAGGTGCCCACCACCACGGCCAGTTAATTTTGTATTTTTAGTAGAGACGGGGTTTCTCCATGTTGGTCAGTATGGTCTCAAACTCAAACTCCAAGGCGGGTGATTGCCCGCCTTGGCCTCTCAAAGTTCTGGGATTACAGGCGTGAGCCACCGCGCCCTGCCAGGAGGTAGTGTTTTTGAGCAACCATAACCATTGTGAGTGGCAGAGAAGGGGAGGAGAAAGAAGGGGCCTGGGAACGCTAGGGTGGGATTCTGGGAGGTTCTGAGTGACAACAAAGGGTCAGGGCTGCCCCTTACCCACATACTGCAGAGGTGTTGTGAGCTGGGTCTGATGGAGAACTCACTCAAGCATGCCCACCCTGGGCATCACCCCCAGCAGTCCCTTCAGTGGCTCATTCACCCAGAAAAAGTGCTCCTGGTCCCTCTACCCTCTGTCTTGCTGGACACCTGGTGAGGCCTTAAGGGATGGCTGCTAGCCCTGGTTTGCTATTGGATTAGGGCCGCTCAGCCATCACCATCCAGCCCTTGAACAAAAGAGCCCACTGACTTCCATGCCTCTGGGCTCCAGGGCCCTGCCCAGGCCTGGCCCAAGACAGATGTTGGTAAATGCTTGTTGGGCAATGGAATAGCACCCCTGGCTGGGCAGCAAGAGAATCAGAAAGAACCTTAGAAAGTATCTAGACTGATCCTCTCATTTTACAAAGGGTGGCAATGAGGTGGCCCAGGGATAGGCAGGAATGGGCCTGCCCAAGGCTTCCTGACATGGCAATCTCATGCCGCCTTGCATCCAGCCAAGGAAATACTAGACTCTACAGAGGCCTGCATGCTCAGCCAACCTGGCACCATCGGGTCCCCCAAAGACTCACAGAGGGGCAGTGGCCATGCCCCTCTCCCTTACCTGTCCCACTCTGTTCCAGGCCCCCTGTCCCTCCTTGTTTCTGACTCTTAACTACGTCCTTGTTTATCCTCTCACCCCTGGTTCGGTTCCCCAACTCATCATCTCTCTGTCTCACTCCCTCTCTTACTCTCCTCAGATTTACCAGGCTGCCTATTTCCACCCTCTGACATTTTGCCCTCGTTGGAGCCTAGAGACCCAGGCCCCCCGCCCCAGCTCCTCCCCATTGGCCAGAGCCCAGAGGGATCACAGCAGGACCCTGACACACACATGCACGTGGCTGGTAGATCCCAGTCACAGGCAATAGAACGTGGTGGGTAGCAACAGCGTACAGCTCCGTGACAAGCCCAGGTAGCGCAGCTGTGTGACAGTGGGTCACTGTTCCATAGCAACTGAACAAAATTACATAGCAATGGATGAACTCAGCGACCAAGAGGCACAGTGACAAGCAATCGAATGTGGCCATGGAGTAGTGGAGTGGAGTTGCATAGCAATAGACCCAAGCTGTAGCATGTCACACAGCCCCGCACTGCAGGAGGGCGCAGTCACAGAATGAGTCCCGAGCGTAGTGTGGAAGCCGTGGGCGGAGGTACAGAGCAGTAGAGGACCCTTTCGTAGCACTGGGACACCACGGAGAAGCAGTGGCATGGTCACAGTGTGTGTGGCTCCTGGACATGTGGCCAGGGAGCGGTGGCCGGCAGCAGGGCCCAGGGCTGGAGCAGCGGGCGCCCGTGACATGGCGGTGGCTATGTAGAACTGCCTCCTTCACGCTGGGCTATTGCCTCTGGCTGAGCCTCTTGGCATCCCCTAATGTCTGAAGTGTGTTTGTCTATATCCAGTCTCATCGTGTGTTCCCCAGGGGCCAAAAAACAATTTGATTTCTGATTCCCTTCAGATCCTACTTCAGCTTAATAAGAAATTGAACATTTTCTGCAGAGAAAAGCACCTTGGGAATGGATGGGGGTGGAGAAGAGGAGGTCTGTGCCTCTCCCTGCGTTGCTGCCTCCTGCCCTCGGGCTTGCCCATCCCTCCCCCACAGCCCGCTGAGTCCACGGTAGCTCCCTGCCCCTGGATGTGCCCTTGATCCACCTCATTCCCCGGCTGCAGCCCAGCCACTTCTCACCTTGGAATACTTGGTTTTGACACAGGCCTTTCGGGTTCCGTTTTGTCAACAACATGGTACAAAGCTCTGGTCTTGGGCGGGCCCGCTGAGGTCAAGGTCCCATGGGAATGGCCTTGGGTCGAGTGTAAGGCCTGAGGCAGAGGTGGAGGCAGCCTTACGCCCATCCTGAGCAGCTCAGGAAGCCATTGG